CATTTGCTGCACATGTGGCAGACCCCAGTGACTTGAGGAGGAAGAGAAAATTTGGGCGAATTCGACGTCGACTGATCTAAGAGCTCCGTCACATTAAAAATGCACGGTGGACGGAGAAGGCGACGCAGATGTAATGCTACGCCGAACGCCGTTAACATAAGGAATTCTTAATAGTTCAATAGTTCAATAGTGTATGATGGGATAAAAAGCATTGGCTTTACAAGACCCATAGGATGGTAAATGCAAAATAAATAAAAATCATTAGATTCCGACATGGAACTGAAATGCCAATAGTCTAAACCTAGTACATCACACCACAATGTGTTGTTTGTCACTCAGATGAATGTCTAACAATTGTTTGAAGGCTGTAATGTTCGGAGCGTTTACCACATGCGTTGGCAAGTCATTCCATTGTGAACAGATTCTAAGAGAGTAAAAATATTTTCTACAGTCTAATCAGGAGTGTTGGATTATCAGCTTGAGGTTATGACCTCTCGATCGCTTATATGTGGCTAGGGTGAGCAGCGATTTGCACGGGTGATCGCGTTCCGTTAATATCCGGTATGCGAGAATGTGATCGCCGCGTAGTCGTCGGTATTCGGAGGAAAACATTCCGATTAAACTGAGACACACTTCATAATGGTGACCAGATAATCCGCTTGTTGCCTTAGTAGCTCTTCGTTGGGGCTGCTCTAAGAGATGAATGTCCCGTTTTAACCATGGGCACCAAGCCTGGACGGCATATTCGATGTGCGGACGGATATAGGAGTTGACAAGCATGGGTACCAACCGTCGTTCAAAAACACCAAAACCTCGCCTCAAAAGTCTCAGATTCATGTTCGCCACGTTCGCTGCTTTCGAACATTGGAGCGAATTCCCCAGACTTTCTTGCACAATGATACCTAAGTCTTTTTCTGTGGTCACGCGCCGTAAAACGTACTGCCCCAAGAGGTACGTGTTGGCAAGATTGCTGCGCAATGACAGTAGGTGACACTTGGCAGGATTCAGGGGGAGGTGATTTATATCTGCCCATTTGTTGATTCTATCCAAATCATTCTGGAGGAGGGCACAGTCTGATGTCGAGCGAATAACTCTCCAGATTTTTGCGTCATCTGCAAAAATTTGCATCGAGGATTGAATATTATCCGGGAGGTCATTAATGTAGACCAGAAAAAGGAGGGGACCAAGGACGGATTCTTGAGGAACACCGCTGGAGATGCAGAGGGTTTCCGTGAGGACATC